GGAAGTCGATGTAAAGGTGGTAGAGATACCATGGATTTACCCATATGTATCGATTATTGGTTGGCATTAAGTGCGAAACTGTAAAAAAACAATGATTCAAGAGTTAAAATATGTAAAACAAACGTTGGACATAAATTCATTTTTGGAAAATTTTGCATTTCAAACATATCCATTTCATTGTGGGCTTTACAGTAACGAATATTAATGCTGTTTGTTGAAAGATACAAAATTGTAGAGACTTAAAAAGCATATCTTTTAAACTGAGTTTTCTCTTTTAAGTTTTATTGCTATTGAAATAAATGAAAAATACTGTAGAGGTCTCATATTTATCGCCCATCTGTTACTTCAAGCAGGAAATAGATAATACCCTAGTGAATGTACTGAGCTAAGGGTACCCGAAAAAGTACCCTGCTACTAGTATGTCACAGGAACTTTCGGGTACTGAAGTACCTTAAAGTACTTTTAGGTACCTATAAGGTACTCGACCAAGTACCCTGCTGGAAAGCATCCATTAAATGGGTACTTGAAGGTACTGATCAAGTACCCAACTGGGTACTATTGTTCAGTAATTTTGGGTACCCTGTTGCCAAACTTGCAGTATGTTGATGATCGAAACTAACCTCTGGCTTTTTTTCATTTTTGTTTCTCTCAAAGTAATTTATGATATTTTCTCGATTTTATTTTATTTTATTTTTCTAATTCTGAAAAGCCAAGCAGGTCAAATTTCGAGATCTGACCGGACGCGAATTGGTCGGATCTCCATCAGACCACTTCAAGGTAGTCCTCTCTCAATCTACGATTGAGATCAGCATGTCCTCGACTAGTAAATAGTCAAGAAAAATAATCTAGAAAAAATTAGTATGAAAAAATATTTTTTTCTTATGCTTCTTCGAGTTGCTTATATGAAGCCGTATATGCAAAAGAAAACGGTGAATGAACAGTTGCTACACAGAACGCAACAAATCTAGGGTACCCTGTAGAGCTTTTCCTAGTAAAGTTACAGGTGCGGGTACTCATGCAAGTACTTGTTCAGTAAACATACTGCAATGGGTACCCAATGCAGCACCTACGTCAGTATAATTACTGAAAATTTTCGAAGTACCCATATCGGGTACCCTGCTGAAGCTTTCTCAGTACATGGGTACCCTGAACTCAGTACTTTCTCTAGGGTACGAGAAAGCCATTAAAAAAACTTGATTGGTCTTTCTTATTAAAGATCGATCACATTTTGTGCAAGTAATGAATCGAAATATTGTTTATACAGCCTGTATTGACTTGATTGATCTACAAATTATTGGATACGAAGAAGAAATCAATTGAATATGAAAATGAAAAAAAAAATGTTTGGGTATTTCTTTGTTGAACAATTTTTCTTGTGTCTAAAGACACCTAAAAAAAAAGAGATGTGATCAACAGTGTACTGAAGTAATGTAAGAAGATTTTGCATTTTAAAAAAGGCATAACACACTCATTACTCTAAGAATGCAGTATATATATATATATATATCCTTAAGAAAGTATAATGCAAATCAAATTTAATAAAAACTGAATCTATTCTTATATAGTCACGCTCGTTCGGAAAAGAATCAGATCATGAACATTGGAATATGTTACGTAAGAATTGTTTGATTGAATTCGTAAGACCGTTGTTGATGTCTTCATACAATTATTGTAACATAATCTTTATTTCAATAGAATTGTGTGTGGAGAAATGCGCATATGTCTCTGATTCACACTGAATGCAATTAAGCTATATTATCATTAACGCATCTCATGCCTTATTGCAATGCATTCTAAAGTAATAGGAAGTAAATCAAGCTGTATCAATATTGGTAAAAGCTTGTTAAAAAAAAGCAAAAATAATTTAAAGAGATTGAAAATATTTTGCACTTGCAAACAAATAAATTCAAGTACAAAAACACGCTGTCTGACCCTATGTTCACTATTTATCTTATTTTTTTTGCCTCGATATCGAGGTATTCGAATAGTTTGGAGACGTAGTTAAGCAGAGGAAAAGAAACGAAAAAAAATCTATTGTACAATATATGATTGCTTGTTTCAATAATCTATATTCTTTGTGTTTAATTCGAATAGTGATCGTAGCGGTCATGACGTGATAAAACGTCTAGGCCAACGAAATAATTATTTTGATACTCGGAGAAAGATAGAGAGAGAGATAAATAGAAAGAGAGAGAGATAAATAGAAAGAGAGAGAGAGATATAGAAAGAGAGAGAGATAGTAGATAGAACAGACCATCTATAAAAGCTAAAGAAAATCAAAGCACCACTTATAATATAAAAATATCCGGTGGTATTACGGTAAGTGTTTTCTTAACTTTTTTTTTGCCCTCTGAGAAACCAACTCTAGAGTTCTGAAACCGTTAACATTTTCTTGTAGTTTCAGTTGAAAATTGTATACGATACAAAATTGTGCAACATTTTTTTTTAAATAAAAAAAGCTTTTTTTTTTATTATCAATATCCAAAAGACTTTAGAGATATAATTGTATTTTCACGTTTCAGAATTAGAATAAATTTTTTAATTTGATATCGACTTCTCATCGATAGATGATTCCAGTAGATGGTAGTGGTAGCTATAGAAGTGAAGGGATACACTTCCAGTGTTTTCGATTGGAAGGTCACGAGATAAAGAGAGAAAAAAAAGAATGAGGCCATGAGAAGAAAAGAGACAGCAGAATAAAAAGAATAAAGAAAAGTATGGCAGTTGGAAAAGATAAAGTAAGGACCTTGGACAAAATGTTTTTTTTATGAAAATTTAAATATAATAAATAATTGTGTTTTCTTTTTTAGTTTGATCCAAAAACGGCTGATGAGAAAAGAAGCAAGGCGGTGAAAGATGTCGCCTCGCTGATAGCGGCGAAGCTCGTCGATATCGATATCCGGCTTGCTTCGATCGAGACTTCGATCGGCAAGCTCGATACCCGGATGAGTTCGGTGGAATCCGAGCTCAGTGCCCTAAAGACTACCATTAACAACTTCCTTGCGAAGTTGAGCTCGGTATTCGATCAGGATACCCAGTAAGTTCACCGCTTCTTCTAAGCGGATCCGACCTCAAATGTCGGAGTCCGCATCATATAGCGGTGAACTTAGTCAGAAGGGCAAAAATAAAAGCAGTGATCATGTTCGGGCAAACCCTATTTCATGGTTTGCTTCGAGAACGATCAATGCGACAAATATAAAGGATAATTTCAACAATTTTCAATGAAATTTTTTTCTTCTTTATTACAGATTTTCATATAATTTGCTCATCTCAGTAGGTTTTCTTTTATTTCTTTTGTTACTTGTAAACAAATTATTTTTTTTAGATCGTGCGTTAATGTATCTCAATTCATGTTGGTCAAGCTGGTGTTCAAATAGGTAATGTATGTTGTAAATTATTTTTTTTAGACTATGGAATTCAACTTGATGGACAAATGCCGTTAAATGAAACTATTGGTAGAGGTGATGATTCATTCAACATCTTCTTCATTGAAACACATGCTGGTAAATATATACCACAAGTTGTTTTTGTCAATTTGAAACCAACTGTCATCGTTATGGAAAGAAAATTAAACAAATATGATTATTTCAAACTAATTATTAAATGTTTTAGATCAACCACATACTGGTACCTATCGTCAATTATTTCATCCTAAACAATTAATTACTAGAAAAGAAGATGCTGGTAAGTTAATTTAAAAAAAAAATAAATGCGAAAACCTCGGATTTAAATCCGAGTGTTATGTGTACTTCAAAAATCCCTGTATCCCCCCTCAGGGATGGTCTGGTCAATAATGACAATTTTTTCGATAACTCAGCCATTTCTTGACGGATCCTTCTCATTTTCGAATTCGACTGAGATGTTGATGAGACAATGCTGTGCACAAAATTTCAGCTCAATTGAATGTAATTGTGAAGAGTTATCGTGTAAACGGACGGATACACTGACCGATTCTAGATGTGTATGAACTTTTTGAGTACACAAAAAACGAAGAAAATAATAAAAGTGTAATGTCATCGACAATGATTATTTGTTACTGTTTTTATAGAATTCTATATAAAATATCGAATTATTTAATATATCAATCGAAACGATTATTTAAACAAATCATCTAGAAAATTGTTTTCTAGAATTTATTAA